AGCTTTCGCCAGTTTTCTCTCTGCCCTTCCAGCCTCTATATAAACAGTGATGATTTTGGTCTCAGGTGGCGACAGTGGCAAACTCCGGGAATAAGATACGATCCCGAGGAGACTTACTTGGAAGCGAGTTCCTCAGAAACATTTCGCTTTCCAGTTCTTCTCCGGCCGCAGGGACCCTTCTGGCTCGGTCCTTTCCGCCTCAGTTATGCCTTGGCGAAGCCACACTGTAGACAGGATGTAATTATTAGCCAGCCAGAAACCCTCTTGTAAATCTCGCGCTTAAATCGTCCGGTTGGGAGGCACCGATAAACCTTGAGCGTTTTGACTGGCGGTTTTTTTGTTAGGTGCTGTTTTTGCTGTTCTCAATGCTCTATTCAAGACGATTTTGAAATGCCGATTTTCTGTAGGCAAACACCCTGCGGGTCACATCTTGCTTTTCCAGATCACCAGTGGTATTTTTCAGGCCGTTTGTGAATCAGGCGATGTTCCCTAGGAGGCTTTCCCGGAAGAGAGAGCGAAACACAGCCGATGGGAGAGGGGAGCTCTGGGGCTGGGAGTGGTGGGGCACCTTTCCCACCGCCGGGCTCCGGCGCTTCCCGCAATGTGCGTCTCGGCCCGAGAGGGTCCTCCTCTAACCTTTCGCAGGCGGGCAAGGGTACCTTCCTCTCGAGTCCCTCTTTTCGTGTTAACTTAGTTGGGATTTACTCCCCCAGGTAAAGACTGCGGTTCAAAAGGCCAAAACAGGACAAAAACCCTGTTTTGAAAATAAAACAAAATGATTTATTTTGATTGGTTTTGCTCTGAATATCTCTCGGCCAAATTATTTTATAAAGTCGCTAAAGTCTCTGACAGTTCAAATTCAGTTCCTAATACTGATCGGGAAGAATCCGGACTAATTTAGTCAGAGTCAGAACAGCAGATTAACAGAAAGAAGGTGGTGAAATTTCCCTTGCAGCCCAAGCCTGGATTTCAGCGGCTCCGTGTATTGAGATTTGCAGCAACTTCTTCGGAACTGAAGTCATTCTAGCTTCAAAAGGGAGCTGGACGCGCGCACTGGCGCCCAGAGGGTGCTCTCCAACGTCATTTCTGTCGACTCTCGGATGTGCTCTACAGGCCAGCAAGATTTGAACGATCCCTTTCTTCCTTTTGTAGACGAACAACAGCTGATAAGAAAGGGTAGCCTGGGGGCATACAGGAGAAACCCACAGACCTGAATGAACTGCTTTGGTTTAACCTTTCCGGCACCCTAAATCTCTGCAGACTTTTACAGCTACTCTGTTTGTCTTGATATTTTGAAGACGCATCAGGGAGGAAAGGAGCCGCTAAAATAGGATTGGGGTTTCTCTAAATGTTTATTTAAAGAAAAGACCTCAAACCAAAACCGGAATCCATGTGCAGTAATGAATGAGACCTATTTACAAGCAAATCCATGGGGCGCGCCTGATGTTTTACAACTTGCGAGTGTATTCGGAGGTGAGTTTCAGCGGGCCTAGCTCCCGTCTGTAAGGCATGCATGCAGACAGGCACTTGGGTAAAACTGACACATTTTCCTCTTCCTGGCCTTTGGTAATGCAAATAAAGTGACGACACTAGGTGGTTAGAGCGTTAATATCCCCCCCCCCATGTCCTTGAGGTGAGGAAGTAATCCAAGGCAGAATCCTAACGTTAAAACACACTTTTGACTTTGGGAGGCTTAAATACCGGTTTCCTGGTGTCCAAATTGCTGTACTGTGACTCGCTCTGGTTCCCAGCCGGGGTCGTCCTGCACCAGTCATTAGCCTTCTCTCAACAAATCCAAGACGAGGAAGACCTCCCAGCCAGGCGGGTGGGCCCTGGCGGACCAGGAGGTGCTTTGTAATTGCTTGCCCCTTTCGGGTGAAGGCCCCGAACACGTGTTTAAGTCCCTGCAAGGACAGAAAAGGGAGATCCCAGTAGATTGAGTTATCTGAGAGATCTCTGAGAATCTTCTTCTGATCTGAGGTGTATAGTTCTGAAGCGCTTTTGGAGAGAGGAGCTAGGCTTTTTCCATTTTTGTTTCATTCCGTGGACGAAAGCAATTTTTGTTTTTAACTGCCCGGTGGAAATACAGAACTGCAAGGCGGCCCGGAGGTTATTTATGAGTTGAAGAGTCTCCGGTCTATGCCCGGCATCCATTCAAAGCAGTGTGTGTGTGTGTGGGGGTATTATAGTAAAACTATGGAAAGAGCGGGTCTCGGCCACTGCAGTGCCATTTCTTACACACACGCGAAGGTCCGCATTCCGTCCCTTCTCCAGAAGTGCTTCCGTAGAAGAACTATGAGTGATCAACTGCAAACGACCCCGAAAGGAAGACCTCCGAGGTCGGACCCGAAGAACTGTGCGCGTGGAACGCTCCGCAGCTGTGGTGGAGAGAGATGGGAAGCCCTCCGGTTGGAACCGGGGCAAAAGGACCGTCATCGCACAGTAAGGGAGACGGGAGCCTGGCGAGGGTCAGGAGCGGGAAGCAAGGAAGCGACAGTCTGAGGAGCGGGCAGAACGGAAAGAAATCCAGCCCGCCAGGCCTGAGCAGCGCGCGTGTCTCTCTCTACACGAAAGCCAGTCGTCGCCGTCGCAGAGGAGGGGGAGGAGGAGGTCGTCGCCCTCTGGGCTGGCGGGCGGGCTGGCTGACGGCCTCTCTCCCCTTCCCCCCTCTTCTCCTTAGGAAACAAATCACACAAGCACATCACAGAGCCTTGCGATCGGCTGCCAAGCCGGGGCTGGCCGGGTGACACCCTTGATTCCATCAGGCGCTCTAGAAGTTTCGCCGCCGAAAATGCCCAGGGGCAGCGCGAGGGCTCCCCAAAGCGGCTCCTAACCCTGCAGGAGGAAAGCAGGCAGGACCCAGCCCCGGGCGGCGGCCGCTCTCCAGTGAGCCCTGCTGGCCCGCCAAGCGCTCTAGCCCGCCAGCGCCGCGCCATCCGCCGAGCCCTGCGAGCGCCTGGAGCGGGCGGCGGAAGGCTGAGAAGGACGACTGGCTACGCCCAGTGATTTCCCGGCCGGCTTGTCGCTCTTGTGTCCCGGCGCGGTCACGTCGGGTGCTTTGACTTTTCTCTGGCTGCCGCAATCGACTAACGCCTGCCGAGAGCGCTCGAAAAAAGCGACAGCCACCCTCACCCTCCAAATCTCACGCTTCCTGCGCCGATAGGGGTCCCGACACAGGCGAAGGTCGGTCGCTTTAGCGCCGCTTGGCTTGCCTGCACAGGGGCCGTTTCAAATAGCTTTCGGAACCCAAAGGGAGAGAAGCGCGTGGACAGCACGAAACAGCCTGCTGCTCTCACACCGTTTAAGATCGACAGTACTGGGGTAACCAATGGACCATACAGGTGATAGAATTTACGCGGGAGAAAGTGGGAAGGAAAGCGGTTTAAGAGCCTTAGGAGTAGTGTGTGATCTTGAGACAAACGTGCCAATCCAAACACAATTATTTGTGAGTAAACAGGCGTAAGATCAAGCTGTAACTCCCCGATCTCTCGAGAAAGAAAGAAAGAAAGAAAGAAAGAAAGAAACTTACTTTGAATCTACGAGTCCCGTAGATCTGAGTCGGGCCTAACTTCCAAGGCAAGCAGCCTAAGACCGGTTTGCGAGAAACTGGGCGGTCCTGTGCAGAGTTCCTCCGCGCTACGGACTGGGCTTCGACTGGAGCAGCTCTGCAAAAGGTTGCATTGGAAGCCCCACTGGACGCAGCGAGACTTACTTCCCCGTAAACATGGACATGATCAAATTGCAGGACTGCCGTTCCAGGAGCAAGCCTGATTCAAAGCGGTTAGGACTTCCCAGTAAACATGCTTAGCTTAGGACGGGGCCCTGAGAATCAAGGGCAGGATGGTCTAATTTATATACTCTCCCCCTCTTTCCCGCCCCCCGGGGTCAAAGAACCCGGCCTAGCTTTCGATCCCACAGCGCTGGCCGTTTCCCTCGCACCTTGAGAGAGGAGAAAGAAGGCACGGGAAGAAAGGGGGAGGTTGCCCGTGTTTAAGGAGTGGCACATGGAGAAGTTCGCCTTCCAGGCTTCCCTGGGCGATCTCCTTCACCCATGGGATGGATCTCCCGCTCCCCCGGTCTGATACCAGCGGCGGGCTTGGGTTAATGGCCAGCGATTCTTTAGAGTTCAGGAATCTGCGCTGGCCTGTCGAGAGACCGTAAGCCTCCAGCAAACTGCGCGGGGGTGGAATTTGGCAGGCAGTGGGTTTCTGTCCCAAGCCGTCTTGCATTCAGCCCACTGTCCGCTTCCCACCCCAAATCTGCCCCGAGTTAGTTAATCGCAGGCTGGACTCTTTTCAGTACTGATTTCTCAAATTTGGCTCCCTGTCTGCTTTAGGGGCCGCTCAGAGGTTCTTCTTTTCCCTTTAATGAGAAGGTTTGAGGTTTTTTATTGTCATTTAATTAATAGCATCACATAAAAATCCGTCTAAAGGAAAACGAAGTTTTCTCCAGCCTTGCATAGCCACCGATGCTCGGAGCAAAGACTAAGGATAAGCCCCCTGTCTGTTCTGCACGCCTCCCCTTCCCTGGTGTTTCTGGAGGATGGAAAGCTGTTGGTTGGACCAGCAGGAGGAGAGAAGGAAGGGGGGGGGGGAGAGACCCGTGAAGTGGCTCATCCAGAGTTAGCATACTCTTGACTTTCTCTTAAACAGCAAAAAAACAAAAGAAACCCCAGTCCCTCGAGTGAATTTGCTTGTAGCGATAAAGATCTGAACATGTACAGAAGGCGGGTTTTACACAAGGAGGTGAGGCTGCAAGAGCCAGCCAAGAGGCTCCCTCCCCTCCTTTGCGAGGTTCCACCCACTTGAAAACAAAACTTTTTCCCCCTCAAGGGTCTGACATCAGTAAAGTAGGGAAGGGAGCCCGGGCAGGAGCAGCTTGTGCATAGCAGAGGCCCTGCAGGAGGAGGCAAGCGAGCGACGAGCGGGGAGGGGGGGGTTGGTGGCTTTCCTTTCCACCCTCGGCCGGCGTGGCTTTTCCGCGCGGGGGGAGCGCCGTCCTTTCTGGAGTTGGTATGTGAGAAGAGCCGCCAGCCCAGTGCCATGTATTGGAAGAGCAACCAGATGTTTGTGTGTAAACTCGACGACAAGGACGTGCCGACGCTTCGCATCGCGACCGAGAAGGTGAGCGGCTCCTTCCTTCCCGGCCAGACGCCTGCTCCTTTCGTCCCGGAGATCGCTTGCCCCCCTCTCGGGCTAAAACAGACCAGGGAGTGGATTCGAATCCGCCGCACCTAAGAGCTGCCGTCCACTTTACTCCGGAGTAGTTCCATTAGCTTCACTAGGGCTGTTTCGGGCCGAGAGGCTTGTTGGTCGCAGGAATTCTTGCTCAGCCTTTGCGGCGCGCTGTCTGTGTGAGCCGGTGACACCCTCCCCCCCACCGTTTCACCGAACGGCCGCAAAAAAGCGACAGCCCGACTGGCACGGATTGACCCGGAGCGGGAAAAGGCGACCGCGTTCACCGCGCTTCGGCCAAAAGTAAATGCGGGACTTCCCCGAACCAAAGGCCACGTTAGCTCAGTAGGAGCCCGTCTCCCGGCCGGGTGGGGAAAAGGGAGCGACGCGAATATGTCTGAATGCGGAAGACTGGGACGCGGCTGCAGCCTCTTACTCGGGAGTAGTCCCTGTCACTTTCAGGCATGAGGATTATTTTGCTTTCCTGGGTTCGCTTCGAACGATTTAAGGCGCTAAATTCTGGCACTTAAACATGTCTCTTGGCGATCCACCAGTCAGGGGTCAAGATCCGCAAAGCTAGCTCTGTTGGTCTCGATGGGACTACTCCGGGGTAAGTGTCTGTTTCACCAATACTCGCCGGCTGGGTTCGCTGAGGGATCCGGGGCTGCGAGCGCCCGTTCCTCGGCGAGGGGGGCGGGCGGGGGGGCGGGCAGGTTTCAGGGCGCCAGCGTTGAGGAGCCATTCCAGGCGGCCCGTGTCGACCCAGCCGCCGCCCGAGGACGCCTGACCGGGAGTCCGCTCCTTTCGGGGTCCTCCCGCCTGGAAAAGTGCCCCGCTAAGGCGGCCCGCGACCCCGGCAGCTGCCCTAGGCCTCGAGGTCAGGACCCACGACTCCGGCGGGCCGGGCGCTGAGAGGCGCAGCGGGCGGGCGGGG